AAAACGACACCGCTATGCTACGTAAGTTTCTACGTAAGGTGCTCGGTATTTCACTTAGGCTACGTAAGTCTCTACGTAAGGTGCTCGGTATTATCTACCAACGGGTGGTAGCCGCGTGCTGTGCACGCGCACGGCAGACATTTGTTGCAGTGCAGTCCGTGTTCGGATGTGCATGCGCGAGGAACTTCCTCCTTTGGAACTGCTTCTTGTATGAGCTGTTTCGGATATTTCGTCTCCTGGCCTGGCTTATTTCGTTTCTGCGCTGCTGAGACCTCCTTTCGCGGAATATTACTCAATGACAGGTGAGTTGACCAGTTCCCTTTTATTCATTTCCTTGTGTTGACTCTTTCATTTACGAAAAGTGTGCTCATTTTGGGCGGAATGCAATAAATAATGGAACAGCTGACAGGATCTCTTTTCTAAATTTAGCTTTTCCGCTGCCCAGGCCTCCTTTTACGGAATACTCGATGACGGGTGATCTCTGAGTTGACCGGTTTCCTTCGATTCATTTGCTTAGGCCAAAACAAAAAATAGGCTTGTTTCCGGTCGGCAACCCCTCAAAAAGGAGACTCGGTCGGCCGGAATGAAACTTTTTTTGGATACTTTTTTTTGGTTCCTCAATCGTTGTGGTATTGATGGACAAGAGCACCTACCTACACATATATATGTGTACATGTACATTGTACATACATCATGGCAAGGATCAATGTCAAAGTTGACTGACTCACTGTTCTTGTACAGCATGTGGTGTATTCCTGTTTTCGAACATCCTGAGAAATCAGCAAACAGTTCGAGTCCTTCCAGCTCCGTTATTCTAGCTCGTATCGACCCCGGAGGTTTTCGAGCCGACAGCTGAGAATCTCTGCTACCTTGTAGGTGTTTCGATTGTGGAATTCGGTTGAGATTTGACTGAGTTATGACGCGTTGAGTGCATTTGCACACATGGCATTGCCACCGTTTGTATACATTTGGGACCAAAACAAGTTTCAGAATTTGGGAAAAAGTGGCCCGGTCGGGCGACCGGAAACAAGGTCATTATTTGTTTTGGCCTTATGCTCACCCTTTCATTTACGGAAACGTGTGCTGATTTTATTCGGATTTAGATCCATTTTTATCTCTTTGCCCTTGTCTACAGTGTGCGAAGAACGCGAGTTCACCTTCTTGACGGTGAGGCTTATGTTAGATGTGTTGTCGAAATACTCATATTCATTGTACATTGGTACGTTACAAGTAAGGCACTGGTCAGTGGCATACTATCGTTGGCAGTTCCCAATCTGGAGGGAAAGGTTCAAGGACCCATTGACCGAGTTTGCAAAATAAATTCGCATATCAGGGAACATCTCCATTGTGGAGAGTTTCAGTAAACTTATTTGCTTCATACGAAACAAGTCAAAGGGTGCAGTCTCGTCTCGTCAAGATCTCGTACTTGTATGTTTGGATTTGTTTACTCGAGTCTGGGCTGTTTGATTTATTATTTGTGAGTTACGCCGAGATTGCACTGCCCCAAATGAAGTTTCGTGCCGCCAAAGCAAGAATTACGATCTGCAAACTGTTTGTAGTACCTGCAAGAATCTGCTGTACATGTATCGTACTTTCTCTGTTGCTGTTTCAGTTGCCGTCATGTTGCTAAAGAAACGTTCAGTAGAGAGGTTCTGCAAAACAAAAATTCGAACGAAGTTTCGCGACAGTCCTTGCGAAAGTGTGTACGAATTTTTGCACGAAGTTTGCGTTCTGCACATTTTCGTAGTTTGCGCTGGCCAAGTGCACGTACGCCATGACCCGATCACACGAAAGTGTGTACGACTGTTCATTTCGCGTTCCCTGCAAGTTTCGCATCCAAAGCTGCGAAAGTTCGTGCGAAGTTTCGCACCTCCTGATGTAGAGGGAAAGTTTGTACGCATTTTCGTTTTGCAGAACCTCTCTAGTGACTCATTTGTTTCATACGAGACGAGTCAATGAGTTGGTGTGGCTTAGAATCTTTCGCTGTAGAAGAAATCTATTCGTATGTCTATTGGAGAAATAATTGTATTCACTGGTTATAAAATAGGTTAAGACAAACTCACAGAATAAATACCATCGGTCCCTTGGTGTTCGTCCTAAAGAGGTTCGACTGGATATCATTCAAACTCACCAAAAGATGTGTAAGATTTTATTATTATGGAGTGCCTTGTTTATTTCTCAGTACCTCCAACCATAGCCTTGCCCCTTTTATCCTCAGGATCAGTGTAGTTGTTGGAACGATATGTCGGACTCGACAATGTATTTATTTACATTTTAATACATGTATATTGTTCCTCCTTTGCTGTGTTGTTTTAGAAAATCGTGGACTAACAGTTTGAAGTCATTGAACTACTTCCAAAAGTTGTATCGACATCAACAGGGTTACGATTTCAGTGCAATACGATGCAGGATGACCTTATCACGATAACCCATGATTACAAACCATTATAAACACAGAATCAACAAAAACATCTGCGACACGCACCTGGTTACATTTCTCAAATAAATCTGAAATATCTGAAAGGCAAGACAATTTTATGACAGAGTCATGAAATTCTGCTACAGCAACATGCACAGAATGACCTCCGTATAAAAAGAAGTATCACCACGGTCCACCACAACTCACATGTTTCCCCGCAGAAGAACATGCTTGTGCCATTTTCTGCAAGAAAAGGCTTGCACATCAATGCGTATAATACAGTATTGATATGATGTGAAGGCCATCATTTACATGTTGATATAGGGCATTCCATTGATTGGTGACAGAAAAAACAAAAGAAATTATAGCAATAAAAACTGCTTTATGGCAGTTTTCTAAAAAAAGTTATTGTGTTCTAGTCCATGGACCCCGTCTAAAAAGTAAGAAATTAACAAAATGTGATAGCTGAAAATTAAAATTTCACACAAAACCTCACAATAATCACACACAGAATGAAAAGCTACATGTAGAAGACCTTTTCCCCTCGTGATCCTCTTTCCTTTGCATGCATGACATGCATGTTGCCAATTGTTGGTGCAGTACAAGTCTAGTGTTGAAAGCAGCATTTCAAGTGTTGTGATTATTGTGAGGTTTTGTGTGAAATTTTAATTTTCAGCTATCACATTTTGTTAATTTCTTACTTTTTAGACGGGGTCCATGGACTAGAACACAATAACTTTTTTTAGAAAACTGCCATAAAGCAGTTTTTATTGCTATAATTTAATATTGTAGTAGTACTATCGATACAGTCAGAAAGTGCCATGAAGTAGAGTAACCCTCTTGCGCATGTTGTACGTAATGACTTGTAATGATTGATACGTACTGTCGATAATTGATTTCGCTGGTGCACACGTTGGTGCAGCGCTGGTGCAGGCGCTGGTGCACGCGCTGAGTGATGCACGCGCTGGTGCAGCCAGTTGTTTTGGGTTGTACGTGATGCAGCTTGTTGAGGAGAAGGGTTTTCAATATTTTGTGTTCAGTTCTTCTTGCTTCTGGCCTGGTCGAGGTCGTGCTTTTTTCTTCTGTAAACTTCTTGTGCATTTTGGAATTGAAATTAATAATTATAGTCCAACTAACACTTATATCCTTGCGCTGGGCTGGTGGTGGATAATTCCACAACAGCCACAACTTGGCACAAAACTGACAGAGTACTAACTACTAAGACATTCGACGACCTGAAACCTACTACGTAGTAGCTTCAATACATGCGACGTTAAATAAACTTCTACAACAACAACAACAATACATCTCCGGAGCGCTAACCAACAGCCCGGCTTCCAACTCGGAAGGTGCTAGGTTACTAGAAGAGGGGGGGGGGGGGGGGGGAGGTAAGCGTAGCGGAAATGAGCACTACCGGTAGTGGAAGTCCCTCGGGAACTCGGACGTATCCATGTGTCCCGTTCCTTTCTACATTTTATACATTTAATGCTCAACAACGTTGAACCGAGTTTCAAATTCGGTGGAGTATTATAGAACGGCAAGAACCGCAAGAGGAGGTGTATTTTGGGGAGGTTATTTGGAAGGAGGAACTGCCTTTACATCATGTTGCTTGTTCCTTGCTAAAGTACTGATACCGCGAGGGTTGTTACCGGTATCTGATCATTGTCAGATTGACCCTTATTAATTATTATTGACCCTTATTATTGGCTGTATTTGGGTCAGATTCCAATACAGCCACGATGGCCCACGAAACTCCAGAGCACTAGTAGTACTAGTAGCCTGATCTACGACTCGTGCATCCTGGTTCACCTGTGATCATGTAAGTACAGTGCGTATCGGTTATAGTGTGGTCGTATACAAGAATATACTGCTTACAAGAATGAACACTCATTTTTTCACAATCATAACACATATTTATGTGTATATTAAATAATTTATTCTTACAAGCAGTATTATCGCATAGTAGAATATATCGGCCCTAAGAATGGATTTTGTGTAGCAAAATATGCCAGATTAGTGCAAAGTGTATCGCCTGTAGTAATAACATCTGTGCTCTGTGCATACTCAATACAATAATATTCAACACAAAAAGAGAGTTATGTCCAAGGGAGCATTGGAGAATCACTTTTTCTGTCCAGTCGGACTCCTTCTTCCGACTTCTCTCGTATCTGCTGCTCCGCAGTCGCCTAGCACCACCGCGAGTCTGATTGATCCGTGTACGTGTGTATCATGTGTACGTGTCCACATGCCAAACGTGCGCGCATATGATATGTCACACGTGATTTATCGTGTGTAAGAAATATCGGCAATAAGAATCAAAATGTCGATTTTCAAACACCCACGCTATAACCGATACCTACTAGGCTACTGTAGTTTGAGAACGGTTTGCCGTCCGCTTGTGGCGACCAGCGGACAAGCGCCTAAATGGGCGACGGCCTTTTGTCGAGTGGTTGAATGACGCATACATGACGTCACATTGAATCACGTCATCAGCAGACTCAGCTCAGACATTTTTTTGCGAGATTGGTTGGCTTGGCTGATTTTTGAACACTGTCTTGTCTTTGCACTTGCAGTGCAGTGTATGATTTTTGGTTGGCGAGTCCGGCTGTGGTTTGGCTGATTTTGAACTTGTACGAGTAATACTCGTACCAAGAATGGAACAGTTATTCACAAACAATTTATAATTGCAGTGGCTAGAAGAGAGCTCCCGATAGGTTGTAGTAGTAACCCGTTGTGAGTGCTATCGGACTTCGCGACAAATCTATTCTCTCCTCGAAGCCGACTGGGAAGGAGCTGTTTATCACTGGCTTTCTGAATTATTTCTCGAATCTCACGTTTTTGCATTGGGAAGCGACATGGTTGCGTGAAAGTGGCCTGAAAGAAAGACTGAGAGTCCCTAGGGACTCATCTAGAGCACCGATGGCCACGTCAGCGTCATCGGAGGCCGTCCCTATCCTGAAAAATTTCTTCATATACAATCCAACGTTTGGCCCCAGAGAAGGCGAGGTAAACCATCAAAGTTTTCTGTTGTGCACCGATTCGAGTCCTTGTTCGTTTCACGTCGAGTTTTCGTTGAGCAGCATGTGATTATACAAGCCAGGTTCGTGTGTGTGTGTGTGTGTGTGTGTGTGTGTGTGTGTGTGTGTGTGTGTGTGTGTGTGTGTGTGTGTGTGTGTGTGTGTGTGTGTGTGTGTGTGTGTGTGTGTGTGTGTGCATGTGTCTTCGTGTGTGTGTGTGTGTGTGTGTGTGTGTGTGTGCATGTGTCTTCGTGTGTGTGTGTGTGTGTGTGTGTGTGTGCGGTGTGTGTGTGTGTGTACATGGTGTGTGTGTGCGTGTGTGTGTGTACATGGTATGTGTGTGTGTGTGTGTGTGTGCGCGCGCGTGTGTGTGTGTGTGTGTATGTGCGTGCGCATGCATGTGCGTGCGCATGCATGCGTGTTTGTGTACGCATGCGTGTTTGTGTACGCATGCGTGTTTGTGTACGCATGTCGCTGCACTGTGAACTGCGAGCAGGAACACAAGAAGATTCTGTATTACACGCCCGAAGACACAGATCTGGACTTGAAAGTTCGTCATGTCGGCCTATGCGAAGCTATGGTACAGTTCACCAGGTTCGTCTTCAGGTTGATGTAGCTCATTGATACTACATGTACCGTATTTCCCCAAATATAAGTCACACCTTTTTACACTTAGGGGCCATCCGTAAATATAGATATTTATTTAGAAACGAAAACTAGTCGTTTTGGGGGGAGGGGGTTGAGCGCCTGTTCGTTTCTCGAAAAACATCGATGTACATGTTGCACGCGTGAGCATGTCCAGAAAAAAAGATAAAAATATCGATACTATGTACCATTTGTACGGGTTCGTTTCTCAGGGAGGGGGGAGGGGGGTTGAAGAGAAACGACTAGTTTTCGTTTCTAAATAAACATCGGCATTTACGGAAGGCCCCTTAACTTCAGGGACAACAAAATGGGTGCGACTTATAATTGAGCATGACTTCTACTGAAGTGAATATAATCAAAACGATACTGAAAGACATGTTATTACAACGAGTCGCAAATGTAACGATTGTCCAAAATTCATAGGTTAACGAGAAGATATGTTATCGATCTTGCAATATTCCGGCATATCCACACACAAGATATATGAAGCAGTGCGGCCTCAACGGATCTTATCATAACGAAGAAATGTCATCCGTTAAAAGGTTAGATTTGCTTCCTCGTTATATATACATGTCTTACAGTAATGGCATGGACCTGGAAATGGGGATGCGACTTACAATCGAGCGCGACCTATTATCGGGGATATACGGTACATGCACTGTGAAACATTGGTATCAACTTGTATTCTTCCATCCACTGCTTGTACATGTCCTGGATCCTTCAAACGAAAGTCGAATCTGATTTCTATTTTCATCCAAGTACGCCTTTGATGTTCATGTACACGACCAGCTTCTGGCAGTGAACGAGTACAGTACAAGCGCCGCGCGTACGGTGTGCGGCCTGTGACATGTACGCATGAGAGTTCGTTTGTGGATGCATACGACGCATGTGTGCGTGTGTGTGTGTGCGTGCGTGCGCGTGCAACCGTACATGTGTGCGCTTGCGTCTTTCTATTATTTCAGGACGTTTAGTCCGAACAAGCTGTGCGACGTTCTACACACGCTGAAATCGCGTCAGTTCTTCATGCAGCCGGAGCCCGATTATTGGATAATAATGGTGAGTCATACCCCCCCCCCATGCCATGGCTGGCTATAATCGCCCTCACCTCCTCCTTGATTGGCCTTGGCCATGAGTGTGTGTGCAATAATAATAATAATAATAATAATACACGATGTATATCAGCATCACCTTGTGCAATGTACACTTGCACTGGGCGGCTAGAGATCAACCCGTCCATCACCTTTTAGGCGACCACCTGTCCCAGTAGACCACTGCAGCCAGGTTCAAGGGATGCGATTTCCAGTCGAATGACCCTGGATAAGCAGACCACCTGGTAACAGAGACCACCTGGTAACAGAGACCACCTGGTAATAGGGACCACACTTTGATGGCCCCTTGAGTGGTCGTCTTCGGCAGGACTTAGCTGGACTCGTTCTCACACTCGTTGACATGTTGATATTTGTGTTCTCGTTTGTTTGCTCCGTCAGACGGTGATGTTGCCATGCAAGAAGTCGACAACAAAGGACGGCAAGACGGTGTTTGAGTACAAGGAAGAGGACATCCAGGTATGTGTGTGTGTGTGTGTGTATGTGTGTGTGTGGGAGGGGGGGGGGGGGGGGGGAGGGGGAGGGGTATGCTACTGTGCGACTGTGTGCCCGTGTGTGCATTCTTGCTTGTGTGTGGGTTTATGCTACAATGTACTTGGGAACACATGGATGCAGTGAATGGGATTTTTCGGTCTTTGACCACTTTGTGGTGGGTTTGATCTACTCACCTCCCACCGCTTTAGGAGCTGCATCTGCGCCTTGATCCTTGATGGCGGTGGCGTTCCTACGGATTCGCAAAACTCGGCCTGCAGCTGAGTCTCACGCGAACCCTGAGTTTTTTTTAATGCTGCATGTACTTGGCATATTCCTATTTTAGTCTATACTCATGAAGTTGATTGTTCCAACTAGGAACACACGCTTCTTGCCGAACTTGACACTTGACTGACTCACGACTGCCAACTGGAGCACACGAGGAGCACGTCGCACCTTCCACTCGGCAAACCTGCAAGAAAGCACCACTCCCTGCTCAATACACAGTGTTTCGGGGAATTCACCCCTCATCAGGTGAGCTTTCGAGTAGGCTGAGGAAGATTGTGCCTGAAAAGCACCACTTATATACTGCTCTCCAGGCCAGGGATACAAACTTACAGAGACGCTTTGACGCTTTGTTTCCAGCTGGAAACAAAGCGTCAAAGCGTCTCTGTAAGTTTGTATCCCTGGTGATGGTTTGGCCTGGTGAGCAGTAAGTGGTGCTTTTCAGGCGCAATCTTCCTCAGCCTACTCAAAGCTCAACTGATGAGGGGTGAATTCCCCGAAACACTGTGTATTGAGCAGGGAGTGGTGCTTTCTTGCAGGTTTGCCGAGAGGAAGGTGCGACGTGCTCCTCGTGTGCTCCGGATGGCAGTCGTGAGTCAGTCAAGTGTCAAGTTCGGCAAGAAGCGTGTGTTCCTAGTTGGAACAATCAACTTCATGACTATTACCGCCGAAGTCGCAACTTCTACTTCCTCCAGCGTGTACCTCTGTTACAAGGCCGAGTAGCGCACCCTGAAGCCCTGCAAACCGAGTGGATTCAGGCTTCTTTCTGGCCTGGAGGGACGGCGACTCACTCGATGGACACGACTAAATCTGCAACGAATCACTATCACTATCCCTCATCTTCTGCTTGGATCTAGATTGTTCGGTGGGAGTCAACGTCATTCGTCCATTTGCGGCCCAGTTGATGCTCCAATATTTCCAGCACCAGCCACGTTGGAAGACAGTTTTCGGCCCGTTCCGAGTCCTTTTGACGGGAGACGACAACGAGCATTTCCCGCAGACTGGATTTGTATCGAGGAGATGATAGAAGTTTGACTTGATCTCTGTGACCCAGTTGATGCTCCAACATTACCAACGACAGCCACGTTGGAAGACAGTGTTCGGCCCCTTCCGAGTCCTTTTCGCGGGAGACGACAACGAGCATTCCCCGCAGACTGGATTTGTATCGAGGAGATGATAGAAGTTTGACTTGATCTCTGTGACCCAGTTGATGCTCTAACATTACTAACGACAGCCATGTTGGAAGACCGTATTCGGGCCCCGTCCGCGTCCTTTTGGCGGGAGACAACAACGAGCATTCCCCGCAGACTGGATTTGTATCGAGGAGATGATAGAAGTTTGACTTGATCTCTGTGACCCAGTTGATGCTCTAACATTACCAACGACAGCCACGTTGGAAGACAGTGTTCGGCCCCTTCCGAGTCCTTTTGGCGGGAGACGGCAACGAGCATTCCCCGCAGACTGGATTTGTATCGAGGAGATGATAGAAGTTTGACTTGATCTCTGTGACCCAGTTGATGCTCTAACATTACTAACGACAGCCATGTTGGAAGACCGTATTCGGGCCCCTTCCGCGTCCTTTTGGCGGGAGACGACAACGAGCATTCCCCGCAGACTGGATTTGTATCGAGGAGATGATAGAAGTTTGACTTGATCTCTGTGACCCAGTAGATGCTCTAACATTACCAACGACAGCCATGTTGGAAGACAGTGTTCGGCGCCTTCCGCGTCCTTTTGGCGGGAGACGACAACGAGCATTCCCCGCAGACTGGATTTGTCTACAGGACACAACAGATGCTTGATTGGATGGCGAGGACATGATCCTGGCGTACTGCTTCACACTGGCAGCATTTTGCTCCGATGATTGTGTTTCGGGCTTGCTCTGACTCGGCGCACATATAGTGGCATAATAAAAGTTGGGTCTGGAGGCCGGCGTGCTGCATGCGAAGAACGGAATGAGGCACCCACGGCGGCAGCTTCTTCACGATCGCGTTCAGCAAGCGCGCGTCATTAAAATTGTCGCTTCGCACATCTCAATGTTTGTGACTTGGCTCGTCTTAGTCAGACTGTCGGAATCGCTGTTTTCTGTGTTCGAACATTGGAGCGACCCTTCCTGCGCAATGTCCACTTGTTACTGAAGCCGTGGTGGTCTCGGACTTTGTCGGAGCTTTCTTCCGCACCAAGCAAACTCATCGCGCTCCGCTCTTTCCGGCCCAGAGCGCATATCGTTTTTCTGGAGTTCGTGCCGTCCCACATCGTTCGCGTGGGCATTTATCACGACTGCAAGCTCGAGTATAAGAATCCTGGTATCTCTCCTGAATGCGAAATGCTGAAGTTGACGATGGCAAGAACAAAGCTTTCTCAAATTCCTAAAATGCGCTACGTGTGGCGCATGTTGTTGTGAAGGTAGCAGGTCTGAATATACCAACAAAATCAGCGAAGCGCTTGCCAAGGAAAGAAGGTGCGGAACTGCTTACCCTATCCCGCTGGAAGGCCGTTACAGTGTACTTGAAAATTGCTAGCTTGCCTTCATCCCCTGCCACCTGGAGGCATAAATCGCTTGAAAACCAAGTTTCTTGACCTGAATTTGAACGTCTTGTTCAGCGAATTGTTGAGTGCTGAAGGGTCTGCCTCAAACTCTGATGAAGACGTCGAGCTTAGCTGCACGTGCAGCGAAGCGGGAGGCTACAAACTAAAGCTTGGTCCGTCGACAATGCTTTGCCTCAATTTCTAGCTGACTTCTTTGCCCTTCCAGTGGACGAAATAAATTCGAAAAATCGCTCTGGGAAGCGACAATTTTAATGACGCGGAGGAAGTAAGCTCATAGTCAATACTGTAAGAATATTCGGCGCATATTTATTTTCGGCTACTGTAAATATAAAAATTTTCGGCAGCTATTTATTTTCGGATATATTCGGCACCGACCCAAAACGCCTAAATTAAAACGCCTAAATTAAAACGCCAGTGAAATTTTTCACAGCATCTGTCGCACTATACCATGCCCTCTACCCCACGCCGAAAATAAATCGCCCGCCGAAATGTCAAAAATCGTGAAGTGCCGAAATTTTGCAGCGAATTGTTGAGTGCTGAAGGGTCTGCCTCAAACTCTGATGAAGACGTCGAGCTTAGCTGCACGTGCAGCGAAGCGGGAGGCTACAAACTAAAGCTTGGTCCGTCGACAATGCTTTGCCTCAATTTCTAGCTGACTTCTTTGCCCTTCCAGTGGACGAAATAAATTCGAAAAATCGCTCTGGGAAGCGACAATTTTAATGACGCGGAGGAAGTAAGCTCATAGTCAATACTGTAAGAATATTCGGCGCATATTTATTTTCGGCTACTGTAAATATACAAATTTTCGGCAGCTATTTATTTTCGGCTATATTCGGCACCGACCCAAAACGCCTAAATTAAAACGCCTAAATTAAAACGCCAGTGAAATTTTTCACAGCATCTGTCGCACTATACCATGCCCTCTAGCCCACGCCGAAAATAAATCGCCCGCCGAAATGTCAAAAATCGTGAAGTGCCGAAATTTTGCAGCGCCGAAATTTTGTATATTTACAGTATTTCCGGCCTGATCATATTTGGCACTGGCAGTGTATACAGGCAGGATGCAGTACAGGCCGAAAATCTGTTGCCGCCGAAATGTGTTTTAGCCCTGGGAGGCCGACATTTGAAAGGGCCGAAAATTTTGTGGACATACAGTAGCCCGGGTGGACATTTTCATTGTGCTTTAGTGTGTCTATTATCTACAGGTGCAATTCCGATTCCGGTCACGGAATGAAGGGGGCAGAATCGATTCTGGCGATTCCTAAGAAAAAGTGGAATGAGGGCTCATTCCGAGCGGAATGAAAATGTGCGGAGGGCCTAGGGGCTTCGTGAAGTTCGTCGTTGCTGCATACTATGGCTTCCCCAACAAAACTTCAAACGCGATTGTCGATATACAGAAATGTTGGCGGACATCGTCCAGGGTATAGGTTGGTACTGTAACTTTAGGGACGGCATAGTAACTTGTTCGTGGTATTTTGACCCTTCGCTGCCTGAGAAAGTGTTCGCCCGGGATCGTTGATGAACTGGAAATATGCCCTCGCACCTCAGCTCTTCATCGTCGTCGAGCAGGGCCTCTAGAATCACAGGGAGGCGAGCCAAAACAAAGTGACCCAAAGAGGCACCGAGCCTGCCACTTCACTTCTTCTTACAACAGTGCCTCGTCTCTGTCTACAAAACACGAGAGCTAGAGACGTTTCTGTGACTGATACGAGGTCGTATAGCATGATGAAGTAGCGGCCAAACGCCGCCTGCAGGCACCGTAGTTACGATCGCTCGTTGATCTACGCCGTGTTTGGCCGCTCCTTCATCATGACTGTCGTAGGGACATGCAGAAACTTACGGAAGCATAATAGCAACTACCAGGACTGGCATGCAGTAGTCTTCGCAAGGCTGTGCAAACAACAGGTTTCCAGAGTGGCGCAAAACTTTCCCCAGATTCTCGAATCCATGCCAGCGCGTTTGTTTGCTACGCTCATTCCGATTCCGCGATGGGTACCGACGTCATTCCATGCCCATTCGGGAATGACCGAACAAATGCAACCTGAAATCCGACCCTCTGAGCGGTGCAGTGCGCTCACATCGCAAAGACCCGACACGGGTGGTAAAACTACGAAACAGAGACCCGTGACCGGTAGAATGTGAACCCACCGCTCGGGGGGGGGGGGGGGGGGGGGGGGGGGTCGGATTTCAGTTGCCAGCACTGTAGCTGAGTGCTTTGTGTAAGCGAGTGTGCCTGCTTGCAAGAACTGTGTGTGTGCCTGCACTTTAGCCTGTTCATTGTCAACCATTCTAAGAAATATGCCATTATCCCCTGATGCAGTGATGGTGCTGCCCAGCACGTTCTTGTGCATGCGGGCTGTAGGTGAAATTTTGTTCTGGGACAAGCGTCACTGCTATATTGTTAGACACTTGGCAAATATGTGTGTGTGTGTGTGTGTGTGTGTACGTGTGCGTGCGTGGGTCCGTGTGTGCATGTGTGTGGGTATGCGTGGGCTGGTGTGTGTGTGTGTGTGCATGCATGTGTGTATATCTGTCATACCCTGCAGGACACGCTGTATCAGTCTGTTCTGGAGCTTGCCTATCAAATGTTTCGTGTGAGTACCAGTTGCAGTACAGTGTAGTGTGTTTCATGACCCGTCTCACACCCTGTCCACCAACAACTCCACAGTACAGTGTAGTGTGTTTCATGACCCGTCTCACACCCTGTCCACCAACAACTCCACAGTACAGTGTAGTGTGTTTCATGACCCGTCTCACACCCTGTCCACCAACAACTCCACAGTACAGTGTAGTGTGTTTCATGACCCGTCTCACACCCTGTCCACCAACAACTCCACAGTACAGTGTAGTGTGTTTCATGACCCGTCTCACACCCTGTCCACCAACAACTCCACAGTACAGTGTAGTGTGTTTCATGACCCGTCTCACACCCTGTCCACCAACAACTCCACAGTACAGTGTAGTGTGTTTCATGACCCGTCTCACACCCTGTCCACCAACAACTCCACAGTACAGTGTAGTGTGTTTCATGACCCGTCTCATACCCTGTCCACCAACAACTCCACAGTACAGTGTAGTGTGTTTCATGACCCGTCTCACACCCTGTCCACCAACAACTCCACAGTACAGTGTAGTGTGTTTCATGACCCGTCTCACACCCTGTCCACCAACAACTCCACAGTACAGTGTAGTGTGTTTCATGACCCGTCTCACACCCTGTCCACCAACAACTCCACAGTACAGTGTAGTGTGTTTCATGACCCGTCTCATACCCTGTCCACCAACAACTCCACAGTACAGTGTAGTGTGTTTCATGACCCGTCTCACACCCTGTCCACCAACAACTCCACAGTACAGTGTAGTGTGTTTCATGACCCGTCTCACACCCTGTCCACCAACAACTCCACAGTACAGTGTAGTGTGTTTCATGACCCGTCTCACACCCTGTCCACCAACAACTCCACAGTACAGTGTAGTGTGTTTCATGACCCGTCTCACACCCTGTCCACCAACAACTCCACAGTACAGTGTAGTGTGTTTCATGACCCGTCTCACACCCTGTCCACCAACAACTCCACAGTACAGTGTAGTGTGTTTCATGACCCGTCTCACACCCTGTCCACCAACAACTCCACAGTACAGTGTAGTGTGTTTCATGACCCGTCTCACACCCTGTCCACCAACAACTCCACAGTACAGTGTAGTGTGTTTCATGACCCGTCTCACACCCTGTCCACCAACAACTCCACAGTACAGTGTAGTGTGTTTCATGACCCGTCTCACACCCTGTCCACCAACAACTCCACAGTACAGTGTAGTGTGTTTCATGACCCGTCTCACACCCTGTCCACCAACAACTCCACAGTACAGTGTAGTGTGTTTCATGACCCGTCTCACACCCTGTCCACCAACAACTCCACAGTACAGTGTAGTGTGTTTCATGACCCGTCTCACACCCTGTCCACCAACAACTCCACAGTACAGTGTAGTGTGTTTCATGACCCGTCTCATACCCTGTCCACCAACAACTCCACAGTACAGTGTAGTGTGTTTCATGACCCGTCTCACACCCTGTCCACCAACAACTCCACAGTACAGTGTAGTGTGTTTCATGACCCGTCTCACACCCTGTCCACCAACAACTCCACAGTACAGTGTAGTGTGTTTCATGACCCGTCTCATACCCTGTCCACCAACAACTCCACAGTACAGTGTAGTGTGTTTCATGACCCGTCTCACACCCTGTCCACCAACAACTCCACAGTACAGTGTAGTGTGTTTCATGACCCGTCTCACACCCTGTCCACCAACAACTCCACAGTACAGTGTAGTGTGTTTCATGACCCGTCTCACACCCTGTCCACCAACAACTCCACAGTACAGTGTAGTGTGTTTCATGACCCGTCTCACACCCTGTCCACCAACAACTCCACAGTACAGTGTAGTGTGTTTCATGACCCGTCTCACACCCTGTCCACCAACAACTCCACAGTACAGTGTAGTGTGTTTCATGACCCGTCTCACACCCTGTCCACCAACAACTCCACAGTACAGTGTAGTGTGTTTCATGACCCGTCTCACACCCTGTCCACCAACAACTCCACAGTACAGTGTAGTGTGTTTCATGACCCGTCTCACACCCTGTCCACCAACAACTCCACAGTACAGTGTAGTGTGTTTCATGACCCGTCTCACACCCTGTCCACCAACAACTCCACAGTACAGTGTAGTGTGTTTCATGACCCGTCTCACACCCTGTCCACCAACAACTCCACAGTACAGTGTAGTGTGTTTCATGACCCGTCTCACACCCTGTCCACCAACAACTCCACAGTACAGTGTAGTGTGTTTCATGACCCGTCTCATACCCTGTCCACCAACAACTCCACAGTACAGTGTAGTGTGTTTCATGACCCGTCTCACACCCTGTCCACCAACAACTCCACAGTACAGTGTAGTGTGTTTCATGACCCGTCTCACACCCTGTCCACCAACAACTCCACAGTACAGTGTAGTGTGTTTCATGACCCGTCTCATACCCTGTCCACCAACAACTCCACAGTACAGTGTAGTGTGTTTCATGACCCGTCTCACACCCTGTCCACCAACAACTCCACAGTACAGTGTAGTGTGTTTCATGACCCGTCTCACACCCTGTCCACCAACAACTCCACAGTACAGTGTAGTGTGTTTCATGACCCGTCTCACACCCTGTCCACCAACAACTCCACAGTACAGTGTAGTGTGTTTCATGACCCGTCTCACACCCTGTCCACCAACAACTCCACAGTACAGTGTAGTGTGTTTCATGACCCGTCTCACACCCTGTCCACCAACAACTCCACAGTACAGTGTAGTGTGTTTCATGACCCGTCTCACACCCTGTCCACCAACAACTCCACAGTACAGTGTAGTGTGTTTCATGACCCGTCTCACACCCTGTCCACCAACAACTCCACAGTACAGTGTAGTGTGTTTCATGACCCGTCTCACACCCTGTCCACCAACAACTCCACAGTACAGTGTAGTGTGTTTCATGACCCGTCTCACACCCTGTCCACCAACAACTCCACAGTACAGTGTAGTGTGTTTCATGACCCGTCTCACACCCTGTCCACCAACAACTCCACAGTACAGTGTAGTGTGTTTCATGACCCGTCTCACACCCTGTCCACCAACAACTCCACAGTACAGTGTAGTGTGTTTCATGACCCGTCTCACACCCTGTCCACCAACAACTCCACAGTACAGTGTAGTGTGTTTCATGACCCGTCTCACACCCTGTCCACCAACAACTCCACAGTACAGTGTAGTGTGTTTCATGACCCGTCTCACACCCTGTCCACCAACAACTCCACAGTACAGTGTAGTGTGTTTCATGACCCGTCTCATACCCTGTCCACCAACAACTCCACAGTACAGTGTAGTGTGTTTCATGACCCGTCTCACACCCTGTCCACCAACAACTCCACAGTACAGTGTAGTGTGTTTCATGACCCGTCTCACACCCTGTCCACCAACAACTCCACAGTACAGTGTAGTGTGTTTCATGACCCGTCTCACACCCTGTCCACCAACAACTCCACAGTACAGTGTAGTGTGTTTCATGACCCGTCTCACACCCTGTCCACCAACAACTCCACAGTACAGTGTAGTGTGTTTCATGACCCGTCTCACACCCTGTCCACCAACAACTCCACAGTACAGTGTAGTGTGTTTCATGACCCGTCTCACACCCTGTCCACCAACAACTCCACAGTACAGTGTAGTGTGTTTCATGACCCGTCTCACACCCTGTCCACCAACAACTCCACAGTACAGTGTAGTGTGTTTCATGACCCGTCTCACACCCTGTCCACCAACAACTCCACAGTACAGTGTAGTGTGTTTCATGACCCGTCTCACACCCTGTCCACCAACAACTCCACAGTACAGTGTAGTGTGTTTCATGACCCGTCTCACACCCTGTCCACCAACAACTCCACAGTACAGTGTAGTGTGTTTCATGACCCGTCTCACACCCTGTCCACCAACAACTCCACAGTACAGTGTAGTGTGTTTCATGACCCGTCTCACACCCTGTCCACCAACAACTCCACAGTACAGTGTAGTGTGTTTCATGACCCGTCTCACACCCTGTCCACCAACAACTCCACAGTACAGTGTAGTGTGTTTCATGACCCGTCTCACACCCTGTCCACCAACAACTCCACAGTACAGTGTAGTGTGTTTCATGACCCGTCTCACACCCTGTCCACCAACAACTCCACAGTACAGTGTAGTGTGTTTCATGACCCGTCTCACACCCTGTCCACCAACAACTCCACAGTACAGTGTAGTGTGTTTCATGACCCGTCTCACACCCTGTCCACCAACAACTCCACAGTACAGTGTAGTGTGTTTCATGACCCGTCTCATACCCTGTCCACCAACAACTCCACAGTACAGTGTAGTGTGTTTCATGACCCGTCTCACACCCTGTCCA